TTCTGCCTTGAGGTATACGAGGACAACCTGCATATACTTTGCAGTTGCCCTGCACTGGCTACAACAAGGCTAAGTTGCTGGGGAACCGCCTTCCCTAGCATCAGCTACATAGCGGACCTAGACGCCGGGAATCTACTAGAACTGGTGAGAAAAGCTGGCCTAGAAATATAGGGATCAGTAGGAAAACGGAGCAACAATAGCCCAGTAGGGGTTCGGTAGCAAGAGGGCAGCAAATGCCTATCCGTATCTTAACCATAACCATAACCATAAATGTTCATACTTTTCTACACGTAGCTGATGACGTCATCAATTTTCAATGTCCAGTGAGTGATATGAATGCATTCCAATTTGAGAGTGCATTAGAAAAATTTAAAAATATGTTGAGGACTGGATATCGCCCGTTATCTCAAATCTGTCGACGCCTTCATGAACCATTTTTTTCCAGCAGTGGAAAACCCGAAATACCGCCGGTTGTCAATATTTTATGCGAACTTCGCCCTAGTGCATCTGGAAAGAGGATAATTAAGAAAATTTCATCAAAAAATACGATTCTCACTAGCAAAATTCCAAACAATTCAATCTTATTAAAAACCGGTGAAATAATAGAAATCGAAGAGATGTTTATTTTGACAACTGAGCCTAAAGTCATCAGGATATCTGGACGCTCGTTAAGAATCACAAAACCTACGTTCCAATATCCATGCGATTCATCAGTACCAGTAAGTTTTGCTGCAAATTGCAGGACGTTCGCAGCATCAACGTCTTCACTACCAGGACCACAGGAATTATATTATGAAATTAATCAGTTTTATTTGTTATTATAGTAAATTAAGGTTTTTTATTCGTCAAATTTACATCGACTACAACTAAAAGCCAATCAATATGATTTCATTTAATTTAGTTACAGAAGAGTCTGAAACGAATATTGGTTCACAAACTGATGTCTTTCAAGTCACTCTTTGAATTGCAAATTACACTTGATCTACTGTTAATTTGTAATTGAATAAATAAAAGTTTTATGTTATCTCTCTTCTCAAATTTTATGAGGAATTCTTTACTATTAGTTGAGTCAATTCGACTTATTGAAAATGTACAGTTTTACTTCAGTGCAACATGTAAACTAATAGAAGTTACTGGAAGTTATATAAATTCACGAACCAAATAAACCATAGAAGAATACACAGAAATATTAACCGTTGCATAAGAATTACTATGATCAGTTTTTTCGAATTTTTCACGATTTCTAAACTAACATTAATCGAGTTGAATAAATTGATATATAATCAACAATCCATCAAACTAACACAATGTTAATTTCTATCGTCATGAAAACATACATGATATGACATTGCAGTGAGGTTATAAACATGCGCGCATGCGTGGAGTCTTGACCATACGTACATCCGGACCGACCGGTCACGCTTCTTTACACCGGATTGAGTAGCGTGCATTCTCGAAGCGTCTTCTGAAGCATCCGATTTTCTGGTTCAGCGTGGTAGTAAAATACGTGAATAAAGATTTCTAACGAGTAAAAAGGACACAAAAGGTAAGTCTCATCACCGACAACAATTGAAAAATATAAAAGATGAATGAACGCATGTAAGCAGCAGTAACGGACTAGTTGTGGCTTGTGTAAATTTTGCAAATTAAAAAATTCTTAATATCCATGTTCTTCCAAATTTTCTGAATGTAAAAGAATTGATTTTTAATACTGATCTCTAGTATTGAATACTTACAGATTATGACATGAATAATAGTTAAAACGAAAAAAGTATCGGTCACCGAATATGATTTGAGTGTATAAACGCTTGGATAGGAGGGAAGAAATTAACGATTTCTAATAATTTTAAGGTGTCACTGATATTCATGATGAATTATAGCATTTTGAAATCGATAAATCAACTTTTTTCCTATTTGAAATGAGTTCAGACTACGGGATATGTTCTATTATGTAATATTATAATAAATGCGATTTTTGTAAATTATGTCGTAGAAGAGGTTCCAAGGAAAGGATTACGAGTATTATTTAGTCCACTTTTATGAAGATGGAACTGAAGGAATTTTCGATGAAGCTCTTCAGAAATGGATTAGCTGGAATGATGAAGACAACAGATTCTATTGTAAATTTCACGCGGGGAACAGCGAGAATGAAAAAAAACTGGCCACTTCCTTATTGAAACAGGCTCAATTACCTCCCAAACATTGGAAAAAATATCCAGTGAAGATCAGAGGAGGAGCAAGTGAGAAAAATATTTAGATTGCTATTTCTTGTGACAGACACCGTTTTTTTTTTTGAGAGAGAGAGCCACGCCCAACCCGCGAATCCCACAGAAAGTGGAGATAAAATTAAAATAAATAAATGTTAAAATAAAATTAAAAAAATAGTTCCACGATTATCCCGGTTGAACCGGAGGCTACGCCGTTTAGGACTTTCCCTGCTAATTCCGGAATTAGCAGGAGATCGAGGAATTTCAGGGGAATTTACGATGGGAAAAATTGTAGGGGTTACTCCCTGCTGAATCAGCAGGAGATTAGGAATTCGTTACGTTTAGGATTAGGTAGGGACCTTGGGATTAGGTGATTAGGGTGGGAAATCGTGTCGGTCCTCAATCTCG